TAGCACAAAGATGCTGATTCCTGCATCATACATGGCATTTTTATAACTTACTTGTACATGGAAAATAGTATACAGTATTTGCAGGAAGTTTTCTATTTTCAGAAAGAATTGTGGTTAATTAGGATTTCTATTTTATTTCATTATCTGACCTCTCAGTTGGCTTATCAGCTAGTAAGTGATGTTCAAGTAATTTGTTGGGAGGGGTAGCGAAGATGTTTTGCATCTATTTTGCATAAAAACATCAAGCACAGTATTCAATACATTAATGTTATTAAGCAATTTAATATGGTGTCACTGTTTTCTTTAGTGGCAAATGGTTCTGTGTAAAACAAAACTTTTGCCTCCTAGTTAGCATTTTGGGATATATTAGTGATGCATTATTAATGTAACTAGGAAGTTGTTATTTTTAGACTTGGTGTGATGATTGATTGATTGTGTCAACTTGAGTGAGAGAAGTTTAACTAAATCAGCTTAGCAATTCCATACCCTCCGGTGTGGAAGACCCACCCTAAGGCGGCTTGTTGCCTGGATGGTATAAAGGGGAAATGAAGAAGGACGGATGTACTTCTCTTTCTTTGGGGGAGCTCCAGTCTTTGCCTTCACCTTGGACCTAGTGTTGCTTCCTTCTGCCTTCCCTGCTTTGCCATGAACTGTTTCTCCTCTATGATGCCCCTCTGCCATCCCACCCTGCCTTGGAGCCAGCCAACTATGGACAGAAGCTTTTACAAACCATGAGCCAAGTAAACCTTTTCTTCTTTAACTTTGGGTGTTGAATAATTTGTCTCAGTAACAAAAAGAGTAACTATGACACTTGGTTAAGTTAAGAAAGAGAAAGGGTCCTCATGTAAGAAAACTTCAGTAAAAATGTGTGGAACTACACTGTGGAGAGGGCTTAATTTAAACAGTTGACTTTGAGTCAGTGCTTAATTCTTTTCACCTGAAAGGTGTAAACTTGCCAAATTATTATTTTTTTAGCAATCACCCTAATTCTACTACCATGTTAACATTTATGGGGAAAAACAAAATTTGAGTTTTCAAACAAACAGGTAAGTGTAAGAAGTAGTCAGAATTCAAGACCAAAATTCCAGTTAAGCTCAACCAAATGTTTAAATGGACTATATCCTTGATTTTATATTACATGACATAAAGAACTCAATTAAGAAGCAGTTATAACTAGAATATGTTTTAATATATAAATCACATTATCCATTGTGCTATATGGTGATCCTTATAAATTTTGTTTGTTTGTTTTGTCTTTTTGAAACAGAGTTTCACTATGCAGTTCAGGCTGGCCTTGAACTCATTTTGTAGCCGAGGTTGGCCTCAAATTTGCGGCGATCTTACTGCCTCAGCTTCCCAAGTGCGAGGATTACAGGCATGCACCACCATGCCCAGCTCAACTCTTATAAGCTTTAGCAAAAAGCTAGATGTATTAAAAGAGATCTAGGCATCTTTTACCCTGAGGATCTGAAATGGACTGATGCAACACAAAGCTAGGAAAAGCTAAACACCTGCACCATTAAAACATGTGCTAACACAGTAGAAATTTTGGCCTATTTCAGCCATTATCAAAACCTGTCATAATTCACATTTTGACTCATTGGCCAATTTAAAATACAATTTAGAGGGAAGCAAGATGAATCAGAAGTGAAAATTGATTTGGAAATTCTGCCTTGAAGATCTGGGGCTGGTGTTGTGATGCTTTTGGTGAGCCCTGCCCAAACCTTATTGAGTATTATTTGCTCTCTACCCTCATTACAGAAATCAGAAAGACTTGCAGCTATTAGTGAGATAGGTGGATTAAATGGATCACATTTCTCCTTGACTGACTGAAGAGGAAAATAATGAATGCTGAAGAGGTACAAGTAATTAAGGAATGGCAGACATGCCCAGTGATGTTGGGGAAGTGGACACAAAATACAATCCTACTGTAGTGGTTGATTGATTATGTCAACTTGAGAAGTTTAGAAGCATAACTAACCTTGGCTCAGCAATTGGCCCAGCAATTCTACACCCTAGGGTGTAGAGGAACCACCCTAGTGTGGATCATCACCTAGATAATATAAAAGGGAAATGAAGGACAGAGGTACTTCCATTGCTTTTGAGGGAGCTCCAGTCTTCACCTTCAGCTTGGACTTAGTCTCCTGGCTTCTAGTACAGACTCTTCTGCTTCCACCTTCGATCCTTCAGCCTTCTGTCGCAGACTCATTGGCCTCCTGGTACGGACTTGCACGGAACTCTGCAGTGAACTCCAGACCCTGGACTGATTCCTTCAGTCTTCAGTGTGCAGACACCCTCTGCACACTTCCCCATACAACTCTCTGGCTGACCGTCGTAAGCCAATTTTGTAATTTCTTATAATCTGTACATCCTATGTTATATCTGTTCCTCCAGCAAAACCCTGACTGATACACCTTCCTCTGGAGTTGGACAAATCCACGGAGATCCTTTTGTACTCCACCTCTTGCAGGGGGTTCTGTCGCTTGGCACAGGTCTCTTAGAGACACCCATGGGGGTCAAAGAGGGCCTAATGGCTGGGCAGGGAGTATGCTGGAAGCACTGATGCCAATATGATTAATATATTTATGCATGAGATTTCATATGAAAAAAGACTACCGTATGGAATAAAAATGTTTCAAGTCATTGTGATCGCCCCCACCTCAACTCCTCCATCTCCATTCCTGCAGCATTATTGTAGAATTATGGGAAGAAACAAAGATCCAACAAGGAAGCTACACTTCGGCACATGTTTCAAGGGTCTCTTCCACTTGCTTCACTATGTTTGGAAACAAAATTCATCTGCTCTGTCGGCATCTATACAGCTCTAGCAGGCCAGGCTTTGTTTTTTACAGAGTGATGGGGGAAGTATTCAGGAATCCTAGCTCAAGCCGTGTATGAGGTGTGCTCATGAGCTGATCTCACGCCTGCATGCATTTCCAACAAATATTTGCACAATGCCTATGAAGTATCAGCTTAGTCAATATTCCAGAGTGGCTAGAATGAACCACCTGGAAACCTGAAGATGGACACTGCTTTGCCTCTTAGTTGGGATGAAATGATTTGATAATGGTTTATACATACCAACTTTCTAATATGCTTGGTATGCCTTTCAAATAGAATTATCAAGAAATGACAAAACTCCCCTTCTCACCCACATTCTAGAGCTGGATCTGGGCATCTATTTTCAATTTATCATACTTTCAATTTTCACTTATTTTCAAAAATCATTTTCAATTTTATTTCAAGAGATATTTGTTGCGTTCCACAAATGTTGGGGAGAGGATAACTGTTGGGGATTGACGGACTGGGCTCCAAGCAAGCAGAGGAAAAGTAAATCTTCTTGGAACCCCTGTTCCCGGAAAAGTAAATCTTCTTGGAACCCCTGTTCCCGGCTTACCACAGAGGGGCTACAGCCAGCCCAGTGCCAAGGCAAAGAGGACTCTGGATCTCCTATCATGAGTGATGATCATGGACTGGTAAGTTCCAGAACATTATGGTATTTTCCAGCATCTTGAAGTCTGTATGCTTCAGGTCTAGACTCCAATACATAGCTAAGATTCTGAAGTCCTCCAGTGGAGGGAGTTGGCCCAGATTCCTGGTGTCTGAGCAGAGACTTTTCTAATAAATATTGATCAAAGGAAAGACTCAAGTTTCTCCTTGTTTCTACTTGGGATGCTGGAAAGCGGATGACCAACTCATCCTGGTTTGTCCAGCACGTCCTACTTTTTATTTTTATTTTTTATTTAAACAAAAGGGTAGCTCTGTATGGTACAAAACTCTCCGGAGTGAGTGCAGCCAGGCCTGGCTTCTCAAGGCTGAGGCCTGTAATGGACACCTGTGCTTCTGCCATGTCCTACGGTCCACAACATCATTCTAGAATCAGAGAGGCGCTAACCGGTACATAGGAGTGATGCTAATGTCCCTCAGAAGGGCGGAGGGGTACTCACTGGAACTCTCCGGCTAGGGCTGGTGCCCCTCAGACCCCTGTTTCCTGCCTGCCCCCTCCTCACACGGACAGGACAGCCAGCTATGAAGAGTGTGTTCTTCGTCAGAGCCTCCAAAGTCTCTGGGTAGGTGTGGGATAGCCTCATCCCTGTCACTGGTGCTTTTGAAGGCACACGGAAGCCCGCTGGTGCCTGATGAGGCTGCTAGAGGCTTTGCCAACAAGCAGCTGGGGACGGGCCTGGGCTGGCCCGAGGCTATCAGGACTTGCGTGTTCTGCGCTGCTTCCTGGGGAGCGCGTACCACCTGCGCCTCTGCTGTGCGGGGACTGCAGAAGGGGCAACAGCAGCGCCTGCTGCGGGAGCTGACCCTTCCCAGCCCGACCCTTGTTTAAATACAAGCAGATGGCACTAGAGCCCCGCCCTTCTTTGCTGCAGCTCCGAAGGCGTGCAGTGAGGAGCTGGCGTTCCCTTATTAGCAGAGGGACTCAGGGCGTAAAGGGGCTGTTCACGGCTGGGCCAACTGGTAGCCGCACGAAACCAGCCTCTGGAGCGGCTCTGGTTGCACTGGGCTCTACAGCCCTGGGCGTCCCTTTGCTCTTCTCTCCTCCTTTTTTTGCTGGAAAGAATCAGGACACTCTGGGTCTACCCCAACCGGGACTCCACATTCAAAGAAACTCTGAGCTGCTTGCGGGCCTTGGGGCTGCTGTGAAGAATCTTTCGCGTTCCCTACGGACACTGTCTGGCTTCATTCATTCGTACTGGGGGCTGAACCTGGGGCCTTCGCAATGAGCGACATCCCTAGTCCTATTTCTTATTTTGAGACTAGGTCTTTCCAAGTCACCAAACTGCCCAAGCTGGACTCGAATTCGCCATCCTCCTGCCTCGGCCTCCCAGAGCGCCGGGATTGCAAACGTGCGCCACCGCCCGGATATTCCCCTCAGTTTCTTGTCCCCGCCCCGGGCGTCCCAGCCTCCGCTCTGTCGCTTTAAGCCGCCCGGGCGCCCCTCCCCGCCGGCTCCTCCTCCTCCTCCTCCTCCTCCTCCTCCTCCACCGCCGCCGGCCCCGCCGCGCGCTCGGCGCTCCGCTCAGACCGCAGCCATGGCGGACATCAAGACCGGCATCTTCGCCAAGAACGTGCAGAAGCGGCTCAACCGCGC